AGCTGAGAAGCAACAAAGCACACCAGTCTGTGTGATCATGGGGTGTTGATGGGAATCAGTTATCAGGCATCTAAGACCCAGAACAAAATCATACCAGTGTGAATGCAGGGGGTGGGAGAGTGAAGACCCAAAGCCCATCTGTACATGATTGGACATCCTCTCACAGAAGGGTCACGAGGAAGAGATGACCCAGTCAGGGTACAATATAGCACCAATGAAACACACCTTTCCTCTAGTTCTTTAGTGCTTCCTCCCCGCCACTATCATGACCTCAATTCTACCTTACAAATCGGATTAGACACTACTACAGATAAGAGCCCGAAATTCAGGGAATCCAGTATCAATAAACCCTTCAGGGTTTCAACAATGATAATAGAGATACCAGGAGAATTAGGGGAGGGGAGGGGAAGAAAGGGGGAATCGATCACAAGGATCAACATATAATCCCCTCCCAGGGGGATGAACAACAGAAAAGTGGGTGAGGTGCAACAGGGGACAATGTAAAATATGAAAATAATAATATATAACTTATTAAAGGTTCATGAGGGAGGGCAGACAGGGGAGGGAAGGAGAAAATGAGGAGCTGATATCAAGGACTCAAGTAGAAAGAAAATGCTTTGAAAATGATGGTGGCAACCTATGTACAAATGTGCTTGACACAATGGATGAATGTACAGATTGTGATTAAGAGATATTAGAGCCCCCAATGAAAGTACTTAACTTTAAAAGTGGGGGGATACCAGTATCAGAAAGAAAAAGGATTGCACAATAGTTGTAATTGCTATCAATACATTATATGCCTGTAAAATGTTGAATTGGCAAAAAATTGTAGGCTTCTTACATACAAACCTAAAAATGTGGTTCCTTGGTTTGGAGGTTTAATATCAATCATGGTTTCATGGGACAGCCCAGTTAATTAGCCAATATCATTGTTTAGTACTTCTGTTTTACCTCATTTCTTTCACAGTGCCTGTGATCTTTTGATCAAAGATTCCAAAGAAAATTCTCATCAAAAGGTGGGTGATTAACACATAATTTCATATTCTCATGGGATCCAGATGTTCTGAAGTCATGGAGGTCGGATAAACCACTAAAACTGTCTGGAGAGAATCCTTAAGCTCCTAAAGCCTTCTTAAAACCCAACAGTGTTGTAGCTTAAAAGAGAATGTCTGCCTTGAGCACTGTGCTCTTTGAAGAGCCTTCTATAAGGGATCAAATGGACAACTCAAAACGTTAGCTAAGAAACTTAGGGGGCAGCGAGTTGATGTTAATGGGGCAGGAACATTTCAAAAACGGAGGGTAAGAACGGTTACAGAAAACAGGCAGTGTTACAGAATTGTACATGTAGAAATTGTCGAGTTGGTATATGCGCTGCTGTGGGTGTATTCTCAACAACAAAAATAATTTTAAAAACCTACCCCCTTACCCATGTCAAATGAACTTACCTGAGACTGAGGAGCCAAAATAAAATGTACATTCTTTTATGAAGTCATTCTACGGTCAAGTCCTTCTCTCCTTGAACATCCGTCTAGTATGTGCTCCATGAAGTCCGATGAAGCACAGGCAAAAGCTAGACCATTTCATTTTCCAAAGTTCGTTATTTTGAACCTTCTAGCAGCCTTCCACTTAAGTAAACCTATCCACTACTATGAAGTTAACTCCAACCCAGAGTGGCCCAATAGAGGGTTTCAGAGGCTGGAAATCTTTACAGTGGTCAGCTTCATCTAGCTCTTTCAGAGCAGCTGGTATGGGCTCGAACTGCCAATCTTGCAGTTATCACCTAATGAGTAAACCAAGGATTTCCCTAAGGAGAAGTATCTTTCTAACATCATTTTCCTTTTTTCTCAGAAAACTCAAGTTGAAATAAAATTGCATTTCTTAAAAGAAAATAGAGATGAGAATATCTGCAGGACTTTAGGGAACAATTCCTTTTCAAAAGACAAATCAGACACAGAACATAAAGATTGAAAACTTATAAAATTAAAATTCTATTCATCAAATGAAGTCATGAATAAAACGAAGTCACTCATATTTTTATAACAAAGATACCAACTAAAGACTAGTAGAGTCCTAGGAATTAGTAGGGCGAGACAGTCGACACCACAGAAAAATGGGCAAGATTCAAATGGGCACTTTTCAAGAGAAGAAATCGGGAGTGGCCATTAAACCTAAGAGGATGTTTGATGACATCACTGACCAGAGAAATGCAAAAATCACAATGATTTCTACGATGCACACATCCAATTGGTTAAGATTTAAATTTAAAGTCTAACAAAGAAAGTATATGAACCTGGTAGGAATCTACATTGCCACAGATCTGCACACCTTACAACCCAGCAGTTCTGCTCCCAGGCATGCGATTGCTGAGTTGCCACCGTCGACTCTGACTCCTGGCAGCCCCACTGCACAGAGCTGCACTGCCCCATGGCATTCTCAGGGCTGTGGCCCTTCAGAAGTAGATCCCCCCAGGCCAATCTTCTGAGGCACCTCTAGGTGGGTTTAAACCAATCTTTCAGCTAGCAGTTGAACACTTATGACGCTACCCAAGTGTGAGTCCTTTAGAAATGTGCTTGTGTGTAAAAATGCTCACTGCAGCATTATTTACAATAGCCCAGACATGGGACTGCCACAGAGTAAAGCAAGTTGTGGTATTAGTAAAATGACACATCATACAGCTAAGAAAATGAATAAACCACATTACACACAACATGGATTTTATAAGCAACGGTAAAATATCAGATACAATAAAACAAATGATGTAATTCCAATTTCATCAAACAAAACGGGGACAAAGCAAACACCAACCACACTGTGAAACTATTTAAAAGGGGGAGCAGGGCAGCCTTCCCAGGTCAGGACAGCAGTGAGTCATCTCTTGAGAAAGGGGGTCAAGAAGGGACACTCAGCTTTTCTGCATCTGGTGTGTGATCACAATGCTGTTTGCTTCATTTGTGTTATGTGTTTTTCTCATCAGTTCTTTTTCACAATAAAGTTTAAAACTAAAATAAAGGAGGACTTCTACCAAATATTAACAAGTAGCCTTACAGATTAAAATAGCATGACCTAAATTAGAAGACTCGCCAAAGCTAGGCCTAAGAAACAAGAGAAATTTAATAGGTGCAATATTATTAAAAATCAGTATGGAAATGGTTTACTTAACCATTTCTCAACCTTCCTAATGCCGCGACCCTTTAATACAATGCCTCATGTTGTGGTGACCCCAACCATAAAATTATTTTCGTTGCTACTTCATCACTGTGATGTTGCTACTGTTATGAATCAGGCGACCCCTGTGAAAGGGTCATTTAACCCCTAAAGGGGTCGCGACCCACAGGTTGAAAACCACTGACTTAACAGAAAACTGAGCCAATGGCGAATTACTTGTAAAAATTAAAAGCCTACTTCAAACACTATCTCCAAGTAAGTTCAAGATGAATTAAAAGTCCCTTTTAAGTTAGGTGAGAAAAGAAAGTACTAGAAGAAAGTAGGGTACCTATTGGTCCGTTTTCTGGGTAGGAAAGACAGGTTCAAGTATACGCACAAAGGCAGACCCCTCAAAAGAGCATCCGTACAGAAAGACCATAAAAGGTAAACAGGTAAATAATGCACTGAAAACAATTACAGTACAGGACAAAGGATTGGCATTTTAACTCATAAAAATCTTTGTATAAATCAATTTTTAAAAAGATAAACTAAGAAAGTGAGAGATAATAAGCAGTGAATATAAACGAGCAACTAAATGATTAATAGGCTTGAAAGACACCACTAAACTAGTAAAAAATAGACATTTTAGATGTAACTCTTCTATGATTAATAACTGGTTTTCTAAGAGTAATTTTCCATTCTGCAAGCCTGATATCCTGCAGTATGTCAATGTACACCACTTCTGTGGCGACGGTTGGGTATCATTAGACTCGCAAAACCTTACATGCTTCACCAAGCAATTTCACTTCTAGTAATACGCCTTTTGGAAAGAAATCATTTTTGTGCAGACATGGTATTTTAAGGTATTAACCATATTGTTGTTTATAGGTTACAGTAAAATAACCAGATAGTTAAATAGGAAACCCATCTTTAAAACTATAGTACACCCATGAAATAGTATATCCTGGAGCCAACAAATGCAAAGGATGTCAAAAATGTTTACCAAAGACTATGAAATAATGTATACCATAACCCCATTTTTAATAACATAATACACAGCTACCCATAGAAAAGAAAGAAACCCATCCTTCTGGGGAGGATGACAGGTGACTGCGCACACGAGGAGCCGTGGGGCTGCGAACTGCAAGGTGCTGAGCTGGAGCCACCTGGCTGGCAGTGCATTTTGTAGGTAGGTGTACAAGAAGGGATTCTGGGGGCACTGTGGGTCCCATGTCGGGCTGCCAACCAGTGTCACGGCTGAACTCAGCCACTGCTCCTCAGGAGAAAGGTGGAGCTGTCTGCTCCCTAAAGATTTCATCTTGAGAACCCTAAAGAGCAGTTCTATCCTGCCCATGAGGGTGCTATTGAGTCGGAATCAGCTAGATGGCGGGTGGGTTTGGACATGAGGAGTTCTGGCGGTACAGGGGCGGTACCACTAGGGCTATTACATACGAACCATCCTTTTAAAAAAATAAGCTATGTAAGCACCCGTAAGAGAATTCCATCAACATGATAAAGTTACTCTGATTTATTCTTTCACCACTGAAAGATATTCAACATATTAGACAGATCTTTGATAATAAGAGATAACCATGTAACCCTTTAAGGTGACATGAGTGTGTCCTTATGTGCATGATTTGAGGTTTCTTCAGTCTCTGTGCCCACCTTTCGCAGAGTGAAAATGATGTAGTGACTAGACAATTGTAGCTTTAAAAAAACTCCATTTCCCTACAAACTTTACTGTCCCTTGAACAATGTACCATCTGTCAGAACAATGAAGTTCACCAGGTAAAGAAACAGGCTTGGCAACGTCAGACTTTGCTAGACCTCCTGTCACTCATTCCCAGCATCTAACCCTTATTCCTGATCAGGAAAAAAGAGGTAACATTCTTCCTAAGGGATGATAGACATTTTAAAACATTTTCTATGACCTTCTTAGTTCCTTCACTCAGTAGCCCCAAGCAAACATGCACAGAATTGTCTAGACAACCACCTTCTTTATGCAAAAGAGTATGGAACTGTGTCTTCCTGATTCACTGTAGGCCATGCCAGGGACAACCAACCATCCCCCTGAAAGGCAAGGAGTAAATGTCACTTGACAGGTGAGACTACGGAAAAAAGTAAAGGTACACCTGCTTTCATTTGGCTTAAAGGGAAAAAATGGGCTCTACTATATATGCCACATACAGCAAAACTTTAATACAAGGTGGTTAAACACGATATTCAAATATGAAACTTTTCAATCACGTAAAAGTCATCTTCTGAAAGATGAAGTGGGCTTTTTTTTAATAGCTACCTTAGTGTAACTTTATAAAATTCTTTGCCGTAGCAATGCCTGATGACACTGATCTTGACACATGTTAGAAAGGGAGCTATTGGTATCTCAGCAGTGAGATCACCCACACCCAGGGTCACAACTCATCATCAGAGGACGGACCGTCTTCATCCCTTGCTTCTCGGTATCTCCCCATTGTCTTTCCTTCAGGATTATAGCTCTGCATTTTAATGTTCAGTCTTTCGGCCAATTTTTGTGCTGCCAGCTTGGCTTGCATTTCCTTTAAAACAGAAAGCAAAGCAAAATATTATACATCTCATCTTTTCCCTATAGGTTTTCAACAGAAAGCCATTTAAACACACACACACACACACACACACACACACACACACACACACATTACTTTCTCAAGCAATATATGGAGCTTCAAAAAGTTTGTGAGTCAATTCCATTACCTTCTAGTTCCATTTTCTATGAACTTTATGAACCCCCATCATCAAGCAAAAAGATCTACAGCAGCAGACAGGTGTTTATCACTCACTCACAGCCAATGAGTTAATTCCGACTCATAGCAACCCTACAGAACAGAGTGCCACTGTCCCTGTGGGTTTCCAAGGATGTAAACCTTGACAGGAGGAGAAAGTCTCATCGTCCTCCCAACCAGGGAACATCTGGTGGTTTCCAACTGCTGACCTTGTGGTTCACAGTCCAATGTGTAACCCACCCCACCCACATGCAGCCACTACACAACCAGGGCTCCAACACAAGAACAAAACCCAAACACATTGCTGTCGAGTTGATGAAGACTCATGGTGGCCCTGTGCAGGGTTGCTGAGGCTGGAAATCTTCACAGGAACAGACGCAGCCTCAACTTTCTCTTTCACAGAGGCTGGTGGGTTTGAACCACCAACCCTGCAGCTGGCAGCCCAACACTTCCCAAACAGTGCCAGGTACCATTCAAAAGCCTACGCTGCACAGCCCTAGTGACACACACAGGGTCACTGAGTCAGAGTCCACTGGATACAGGCTGAGTTCCCTCTTTCAGTTCTCCTTCATGGCTCTCATACTTACTGCCCACACCCCCCTGCCCCATGGCTATATACAAATTGCCAATGTACATCTTTAAAGTTCTACACAGAACATTGGATCTTTGGAGAAAAAGCTTAATTGAATCTCCAGAAATAAGAGATTATTTTATCTTCAGATGTGCCCACAGAGTATGTGGGCAACTCTTCACTACCCCGCCCCCAACCCTCATTTGACAGCTCTTCCCTGAACTGAAGGAGATGGACGCAAGGGGGCTACAGGAGCATGTTTCGTGGATAAGTTCTACTACCCTTCAATCCCTTCTCCAGGAAATTTGTGAAGCTCCCTTCTGTTTCAGTGACTCTTAGCAGGGTTCGGGGTGGCTCTCCGGAGTTGATAGAGTGGACGAGTGAGAAGGGAGATGACAGTTTGCACTAGCTTCTCCACATTTCCTGGCAAATCACCACTTTGGTGTTGCAGGAAGCGGTGATCCTCACCATTTGTTTCCTGCATTCCAGCATCTTCCCACTGACTCCTAGAGGTAAATATCAAGAGCTCTGTGGCAACTTGCCCTCACCAGCATTTCCTCAGAATCTAATTAAATCCTTTCCTCTTTAAACCACCAGGGGTAAATTCTTACTGATATAAGTCACATCCAACATACAGACGGAGATGGTGATGGTGGAGCTAATTCTAGCACTCTGAGTACCTCATAACTCTGTTTCTGCTGTTTCTGAAGAGCTAAAGACTCTTCAATGGAAAGCAGCTGGGTAGGCAGATGGTGAAGCGGCAGAAGCCGGGCTGCGGTGATGTCATCAAGGTGCTTCTTATCCCTGCGCAGCCTTTCTTCTGAGGACACAGGGGACTCGCTCCTTGGGCATTGGTCGCATGGGTCATTTGGTTGGGAAGGCAATCTGATGGGGAGAAAGTTTGTTATATCATCAAACCATTTTCTTTTCGAGATGGGTTTAAAAGGTAACAATAATCAGTTTACCCATATTATATCTGAAGATAAAATCTGTCTCAACATATTTACTACAAAATGGAAGCTTTTCAAGAAAATATTCTTATGGAGAACCATGTGATAATTCAGTTTTGACAAATGTCTATACATGGGTTCTGTTCCCTGCCTCCAAGGTCCCACCTAAACCTAAGTGAACTGAAGCTATTATTTCCTCATCTATTAATTCCATAAAAATTTGCCAAAGGGAAGCAGTTTCAGTGCACCTAATACCACAGGCTCTAG